CTAACTTTGTATCAACTAACATGTGTACCCTTAATTTTGGCATGATAAATAACAAAATGGATGGATATAACTGAAAAAAACAATCACACAAATAAAGTTATATAATGTTAACAATTATGGGATATTTAATATTTCTAAACTTTAGAGATTTGAAATCTATCAACTTAAAATCTACTCATAAAAAAACAACAAAAATAAAAGGGGTCGTTGCTTCGTGGATTTGAAAAACTTCATGAATTTGAAAAATAAAATTTTTGATATAATTTGGGTTTTGAATAAATATATGAGAATTTTGGGTTCATTACGAAGTTTGTTAATTAAATTTGTATGTATGAATTGAAAATTTTCTTTATTGCCCTCAATGATATAAGAAGAGAAAGAAAATATGAGGGGTAAGTTGGTAAAAAATGATGGACTTCACAGTCCATGATCAATTCTCACCTAAAGATATAAGATTTTGGGCAATGTCTATTTTTTACCCAAACCTTTTCAAACTTCTTTTATTTTACCCAAACCTATCAAAATTCCATTTATTATCCAATCGTTACCCCACCGTAACTGTTCTGTTACGTTTATGGACTCAGCAACGTCCGAATGAGGTGGAATCCTACGTGGTGGTCTATTTTTAATTTAAAAAAAATAAAATGATTTGTAAAGTAAAATAACCGCGTGAGTAAAGTAAAATAAAAAAAAGAACCATTCGATTCCCATCTTCTTCTGTCTCCCCAACTTCTCCTTTCCATCGGCCGACGAAGCATCATTCTCCAGCAGGCGAGGCTGCAAGCGCTGTCGTCGCCTGTTAAACCTCCCCGCTCCGACGGTCCTAGAACCCAGCGCCGCGCTTCCATCTCTCCCCCCGACGTGCGACCGAGAATCGATCTGAAGCAAGGCAACGGACTGTCGCCGAATCATTGCAGAGAAAGCAAGCAAGGGACTGTCGCCGAATCGCTTCCATCTCTTCTGGACAGCTGTCTCTGTTCGAGCAAACTCTTAACCTGTGATTTTGGTGTATTTTCGATTCAAACCCTAATCCTTCGGAAATTTTGGTTCAAAGACGAAATCCCTTCTCCATATTCGAACCCTTTTACGAACCCTAACCTGTGATTTTGGTGTATTTTGATAGCGGTGTGATTTTGTGGTTTCAAACTCTTAACCTAATTCTAACCTTTTGCTACAGATGACTGAATATATCAATCTCGATTTCCATCATGGAGGAGTGATGGATTTTTCTGGTGATTCCCCAAAGTATGTTGGAGGGTTTTCGGAGAAGTTCAAGGTGGATGTTGATGAAATGTCCTACTTTGGGATTCTGTCTTTGTGCACTGGATACTTGAACTACTACGGAGTCCGGAAGATGTGGTACTTGACTCCTGGAGCCACAATGGCAGAGGGATTGCACGAAATCATGACCGACAAGGAAATCATGGAGGGTCTGCTGGTTGATACAGCACAGACTAAGGAGGTCTCACTATTTGTTGATAGTGTCGAGGCTGATGATGGTTTGATGGGTGACAATGACACTGCGGACAACATAGCAAGGCTTGAAAAGGATGATGACTACTTTGAAGTGGGGGAAAATTCGGCTGCTAAGGAGATAATGAACGTGGCTGACTCTAGTGATGAGGAGTCATCTGAGAAGGAGACTCATCTTCCAATGGTCAATATTCCAGATAGTGAAGCAGGGGAAGAGGTGGATCAGCCTATGAGAGATGCTGGTGACATGGATGAGGAAGAAGATGATGGAGACTACATTCCTGATGAAGATGAAGAAGATGGTGAAAATGAGGCTTCGGTTTCTGCCCATAGAAGAACAGGTTTGTTGGATGAGGAACCCATAGATATGTTTGATGATCTGTCTTTCTACGATCCAAATTGTGATCACAAAGCGTTGGAGTTCACAGTTGGGATGAAGTTTTTGGACGTTGAAGACTTTAAAAAGGCAATCAATAAGCATGGTGTGGCTGCTGGGGCTAGTTTGTGGTGTGTAAAAAGTGATGAAAGTAGGAGGGAGTACAGGTGCAAAGACCAGAATTGTTCTTGGAGGGTTTATGCTGCCTGGTGGTCAGGGAATGCGTTTTTTATGGTCAGAGGTGTTGGGTTGCCTCACTCATGCACTAGGTCGACTCGAGTTAACCTAACAACTGCTAGGTTTATTGCCGAGCACTTCCTTGAGCGTTTCAAGAGTGAGTCAGATTGGAAAGCCCCACTTATTGCGATGGAGGTGAAACGTGAGCTTGGAGTCGATGTTGAATTGAAGGCGTGTTATACTGCGAGGGCCATTGCTAAAGAGATGTTATGTGGTGTTCTTGAACAAGAGTATAACAAGCTTCATCGTTATGTGGCTGTACTAATAGCAGCAGATCCTGAGGGACGGTTCGAACTTGAAGTTGAGCCGGATGTGCAAATGGCTGAGAAGGTGCATTTCAAACGGTTTTATGTTGGGTTTTCCAACTTGAGAAAGGGTTTTTTGGCTGGTTGTAGGCCAATTTTTTCCATCGATGGATGCTTCCTCAAGGGCGAGGTTCCAGGAATGCTGCTGACTGCCGTGGGGAAGGATGGAAACAGTCACATTTACCCATTCGCATGGGCTATTGTGGAGGGTGAGAACAAGAGTTCTTGGAAGTGGTTTCTAGAGCATTTTCAAGAGGAGTTGGGATTCGGGGACGGGGTTGGATGGAGCGTAGTTTCTGACCAGCAAAAGGTATTCCCAACCTTGCTGTTTTTTACATATATAAAGCATGTTTTGTAGATTTACAGGCTCGTAGTTGAAGCGTAGTTTCTAAGATTTGTTCTTTTTTTTTATTTCAGGGGTTAGTTGAAGCAATCAATCTAGTTATGCCTAGTGTCGAGCATCGAAAGTGTGCCCGCCACGTGTTTGCAAATTGGAAGGTCAAGGTTAAGAATGAGAAGATGCGAAAGATCTACAGGGAGGCAGTTTATGCATGTAATGTGCCAGAGTATGAGGCTGCCATGGCCAAAATGGAGGCTTTTCAAAGTGCACAAGCAGTAATGACCCCATTTTCAGACTTTATGGAGCAAGACCCCAAGTCTTTTTGTCGTGCTTTCCTCTCTCGACTCCCAAAATCAGACTCTGTGGAAAGCAATATTTGTGAGAGCTGGAATAATGTCATTGTGAAGGCAAGGGAGTATCGGATAATTGCAATGTTAGAGGCCATTAGAGGGTACATTATGGTCCAAATGAGGAAGAAACGTAAGAAGTTTGAGAAGATGCAGTCAGTTATATGTCCAGCTGTCATGAGTACCATCACTACAGAGGATTCGAAGGCTAGGGTGTGTGTTGCTAGAGCTAGTTCTGATTTTGTTGCGGAGGTTAGTTATGGGGCAGCAACATATATTGTGAATTTGCAGGCTCGTAGTTGCACTTGTGGGGCATGGGATTTGAGTGGCATTCCTTGTTTCCATGCACTATCTGCTATAGGGTTAATGAGGCAAGAGTTGGAGGAATTTGTGCACACTTCATTCCTCGTATCAACCGTTCGGAAGGCATATTCTGGTAGCATACCTGCTGTGGTAGGGCAACAGGCATGGCCAGCTGCTGATGGTTATCCAGTTCACCCTCCCATTTACAAGAAAATGCCGGGGCGTCCGAAGAAGAAAAGAAGAAAGGAGGCAGGTGAATTGGAGTCGACTTTGCATAGGAATGGAAGGCTTACTGGTACAGGAACCAAAAGAGTGAGAATGGTGATGCATTGCACCAATTGTGGGGCTGCTGGGCACAATTCCAGAAAATGCCCCAACCCTCCTCGCGATGCTGCTGACCATGGTACTGGAGGGAGAGGCAGGGGGAGAGGAACTGATTCTACAAGAGGGAGAGGCAGGGGCAGGTGGCAGGGGGAGAGGAAGAGGGCAGCAACATGGTGGCTCAAATCCACGTAAGGTACAACTCTGACCAGACCTATATCCATAAATGTTTGCTATATTTTTACACTAACTTGCTTATTTGCTTTTAAAAGAGGGTTCAACATTGTGGTGTATGCAAGTCAACAGAACACAATGCTAGGAAATGCCCAGATAATAGAGGAGCACAAGTAAGCATGCTTGATTTTAGTTTATCTTGTGTTAGAATGCATCACTCCTCATTGAATAATTCTGTTGGTTGGTGTAGGCTGGAGCAGGTCAGCCTCTTCATAGGAACTTGGTGGTTGATAGAGAAGTGACGGATGCTCTAGGTGGAGAGGCAATATATATTGATCTGGAAGTTGTAGCTGGTACATCTGCGACTGGATTGGGAGCTCAACAAACTGAGTTTGATGATACTCAAGGGCCATCTACTCAATCACCATCTCAGCCTCAGGAATGAGCTTTATATAGTTGCTAGATAACTTGTGTAGGGTATGATGTTTATGTAGTTGGTAGATAACTTAGGAAGGGTATGAGATTATCAAAATGAATGAGCTTTTGTGGTGACTCACTTTGTTCACCCTCTTTTGTATTTTGTAAAAGCTCGATTCATCTTGCAACATCTTTCACCGTTCTAGTTGTGAATTTTAGGTAGTATGTTGTGTTAGCAGGGCATGATGAAACAGATTGAGCTTTTGTGGTGACTTAGGTCAGCCTCATTGTATTTTGTAAGAGCTTGATTCATCATCTACCCTCCTCTTTACTTATCAATGACAGGGATGAGGTCAATTAATACTATCGCAGATACATTAGTTTGCCACAACAATCAATCTTACATTTGGTACTTGTTTGCCACAACAGTGAAACTTACATTATGAACTTAGTTTCCACAATCAAACTTACATTCTGAACTTGCTTGCCATAACAGTCAAACTCCCTGAAATCTACATTATGCGACAAAAGCAATGACACAAATTACACAGACCATCAAGCTTCTTATCCTACTATCTAGACTACAAATCACATTGCTCAATCTGCTCATCTCCGATATCATCCTTGCTCTATCTTCTTTGGTCCTAAGCAACTCTTCTGACAACTTCCTATTCATTTCTTCAGATTCAATAAGTTTTGCTAACAAGTCACCCCCATGATCCATTCCTGATCTGCATTTCATACACATCCACCCATATGAAGAACCTGCAGTCTTCAGTCTAAAAAATCAAGAGTTAGGAATGGCAATGGCTATTTCGAGTTTAGGTCAACAAGCAACAAACCAAACCAAAATACATTACCTTCCAATATGGGCGGCAATAAAACTGCCTTCCGGGATTCCTAGAGGTACCAGACTTGTTCACAATGCACGGAACTTTGTGGTCACAACGAGGCACTGAATCGTTATTTGCGTTGGTCGAGCTAAAAGAGCCCTCCTTTGCAGATCCATCCCCTGCGCATCCCTTCCTTGCAGAGCTCGACCTTGCAGACATGATTCTTGCTTCTATTACGCAGAACAGGAGAAACATATCAATCAACAATCCTATTGAGATTCGACACTACTGCTCAAGAGACAAGAGATCGAGAAACATCTTACCTTGCGTGAGACGATGTTGGAGGGAAGAAACCGAGAACGGCAGCGCAAGACTCGACCGGCGGCGGCGAGTCTTCGAACGGCGGCGGCGAGTCTTCGACAGCGACGGCGAGTCTTCGAACGACGACTGCGAGGCTTTGAAGGCCGACGACGGAGGCTGCGAGGCTTCGATCCCTTTCTGGGGTTTCAAACGAAGGGAGGGTAAGAATCACCCAATTAATCAGTAAATAAATATATTTGTTTTTAATTTAAATATTAAAAATATTAATTTCAGACGTGTACACTGACGTGGAGTTCCGTTACGAAATAAGTAACGGTAACAGAACGACTGCCCAGACTTTGATAAGTTACAATAAGTTTGGATAATAAATAGAATTTTGATAGGTTTGGGTAAAATAAAAGAAGTTTGAAAAGGTTTGGGTAAAAAATAAACATTGCCCTAAGATTTTCAAGTCCGTGGAGCCCACAAATTTGGACCCTCAAAGTCCATGGGTCCCACAGATTTGTTATCTCTAAATATTTGAAGCAAACAATGGATTTTTGGATAAATTCCATTCTTTAACCAAATCCATCACCAAATCCATCAAGCAAACAAGCCCTAATAACTATATACATATGGGTCATTTGCTTCGTGGATTTGGATGATGAATTTGGTATCTAAATCCATTCCATCATGGATTGAAGGTAAATCCATCATTTCCTTGCATTTCTTTTAGGGACCAAATCTGTGGGGCCATGTATTTTAAGGGTCCAAATCCATGGACCCCACGGACTTGTAAATCCCACATATTGATGTGGGATTTGTAACATGCCATAAATCCATGATAAGATTTTACCCCTATACCCTCATGAACTTTTAAAATTCCAAGGTTGCCCTCATATTTACCTATTGTGCATTATAAATAATCAACTAATTAACAACAAATATGTAAATATAAATATTCAATTAATGTGCAAACATGAGTTAGATTTTTATACCCTTTTCTTGTGTTCTAATTTTCTTTGACCTTTTCATGGAGCGTGTAATTATTTGTTCCCCGGTTCTAATATATGTTGTTATATGGTAACCGATATATGTTACGTTAAAAGTTAAACGATATTTTTCCATTTATTATTATTATTATCTTTGTGGAAACATTATGCTTATTAGTACATATTTTTTTTGCTTTTTGTACATATCATAAACATGACAAACAAATAGAAAAGGATAGTATGGTAATTTTGGACTTTAAGTTCTAAATCCCAAACCCTTAAATCCATGATAAAACATCTCAACAAACAAATGATTGTTACAAATTCATAATGCCTGAAATTCTTGATAAATCCTTGGGTTTTTAAATTACAAAACTCTCATTGTTTTTGTTTTGTGATCAATTTCTCATTCTCCTAAGTCCTAACGGTTCTTTACAAAACAAAGTTATAAATTAGTCAGCATTCGTTCAATCGGGTAGGAAGAGTCGTTAGTAACATTATATTTAGGATTTTGCTACGGTGGTTTGGAGAAAACAGTTAATTGCTTCTACCTAGTGGTCTATCACTTTCAAAAATCGGTCAACCACTGCTAGTGAAATAACCTTATGTAATTGGAGACATCCAATATTAATAGATACATTGGCTAGTAAGCGAGTTGAAATTAGTACAAAGGTTGAGGTATATGTGAGAAGTTTATTGGGTTATTGTTCTCTTGTAGATTTGGAAAATGCGCTACACATTTATTTCTTTGATTCGACTTGCTCTATATAAATTTTCATCTTTTCTTTCAAATTTTAAGTTTGTTGGATTTTTATTATATAGTTATCTTACAATAGAGGAGTTTTGTTGCTATTCTTGTCATGACAATACTTAAAAAGTAAGTATAATTAGGGATTTTTCCAGAAATAGCACTTTTAAAAAAAAAAAATTCCAAAAATAGCACCCAACTCCGAAAAATTCCAAAAATAGCACCCTTTCTGAAAAACCGCTCCATACCAGTGCGGTTTAAGCGAAAACCGCCACCCAGGGGCGCGTTTTTCGATGAAAACCGCACCCCCAGGGTGCAATCTGCTTTTTTTTTTTTTTTGTGAAAAATCCTAACCTAGGTGGAAACTTCAAACGGACGTATCTTTGTGTTCGGGTATCCAATCGTCGCAAATTTTTTTTTGATTCCGCATAACTTTTTGAGATCTTGCAAGCCAAAGGGGGTTTGATCCCGCCTTCATCCCAAAAAATGTCGTTTGCTACCCCGAACGAGCTTTTTTCCGATTTCGTCAAACTTTGGACAACCATAACTTTGTGCTCCAAAATCCAAACAACATGAATTTTTTTTTTATTTAGCATAACTTTTTAAGGACTACAACTTTTATCATAGACACAATTTCAAAATGTACGTGGATTGCTGAGAAGGGAAGGTAAGCTATTCCCAAAATCCTGTATATCCAAAAATAATTCCTGTTTTGAAAATTCATTCTAGTAAAAATTGTATTCCTGAAAAAGTTATGCGAAATAAAAAAAAAATTCATGTTGTTTGGATTTTGGAGCACAAAGTTATGGTTGTCCAAAGTTTGACGAAATCGGAAAAAACCTCGTTCGGGGTAGCAAACGACATTTTTTGGGATGAAGGCGGGACCAAACCCCCTTTGGCTTGCAAGATCTCAAAAAGTTATGCGGAATCAAAAAAAATTTTGCGACGATTGGATACCCGAACACAAAGATACGTCCGTTTGAAGTTTCCACCTAGGTTAGGATTTTTCAAAAAAAAAAAAAAAAAAAAAAAGCAGATTGCACCCTGGGGGTGCGATCTGCAACCAAATCGCACCCTGGGGGTGCGATCTGCAAAACCGCCCCCTGGGGGTGCGGTTTTCATCGAAAAACGCGTCCCTGGGTGGCGGTTTTCGCTTAAACCGCACTGGTAGGGAGCGGTTTTTCAGAAAGGGTGCTATTTTTGGAAATTTTCGGAGTTGGGTGCTATTTTTGGAATTTTTTTTTTAAAAAGTGCTATTTCTGGAAAAATCCCGTATAATTATCATACAATTGTGTCATTTTCAACTGTTATTCAGCTATGGATCAAACAATTCAATCAAATCACACAGTTTGGTTGTGCAATACAAAGATCCGAGATTGTGTCTCTTTAGTTGATCAATATCCAAACTGTATCAGTAAAGAACAAATAAATCGGAAAGATAAATAAACTGAAAAGCTCAGATCAACTAGAGTTCCTGGCGTCACGCCCCAACTCTAGAGATTGAGACACTGATTTAGATAATAAGAAACCCAAAACCCATAATCTAGATTCCCTAGCACTCGGCTCCAATTCTAGAGAAGAAGGAATTGTATGAACCTATCCCAGAATCCTCCCAAAGAACTTCCCTGTTCTTAATGAGATTTGGAAACCATTAGCATTCTCCAGTTCGTAATTCCTTTTTATAGACTGTGCACTGCCTTGATCTTCTCTGTCTTCATGAATGTTGTATCCGTTGTTTGATTATATCGATTGTGACAGTTTTTCTTTGCTTCTCCATACGCGAGAGTTATCTTCGTTCGGAGAAGGAAAGGAAGGCGGATTGAAGGAGATGACGCACTGATGGAGGACTTGACGGAGACTTCTTGGCTTGGATGTGGACTGGATCTGATTGTTGAATGTGGGCTGGTCAACATGGGCCACCAGTCTAATTTATGTCGACAGATCAAGGCCCAACATCAACCCCATAAATCTCTTGTCACAGGAGCTACTATGTTGTTTTTGACGTTATACCATAGCTACTTGGTAGGGGTGGGCAATGGACGGATTGGTTGGATTTTTGTCTCAAATTGACCCACCCGCTTACTAGCGGGTTGAAATAATTGTGACCCGCAATCCATCCATATACTTCTGCGGGTTGGGTTGGGTGGGTGGCGGATGGGTGCGGTTGGGTCGCCGGTCAACCCGCAAAAGCAATTCTCCAACTAGCCATTAAAAAAGTTGACTAACATTTATAATAAGTTCATAGAAAATTAGTAAGACTGTATCAATAATTTGTGATTTTGATACAATTAAAAATTTATAGTTTGCATCCCAATATTTAATGATTATTAACAATAATCTGCATACCAATATTCAGTATCTAATGGATATTGCACAACACAATGACCAATAAAAGTAGTCAAAACTATTATTTATTCTTCACCTTTTGAAGTATATAGTAAGACTGTAGTGCAGTTCGAAAATATGATTAATATTCGATACTATAAGAAACAGTGGCGGACCTAAGGCAAGGGAGGGTGTGTCGTCCGACACACCCTCGCTCGAGAATTTTGTGAAGGACCTACATATTTTTGGTACAAATTTTTTTATTTCGAGATAGTCGACACACCTTCAAATATTATAGCCGACACACCTTCATTATACTCGAAGAATTTATTATCCGAATGAATCAATCTTAATCATAATCCTTTTTATTTTTGTTTAACATAACTCATAATCCTATCAATCCATATTAAAAACAAACAAACTCTCAGCCCATACAATATACATGTGTGATGTGTGTTGGGCCTCGGCCTATAATTAAAAGAGAAAAAAGAATCCACAGGCCTAATGGCCAATAGCCCAGGCGGCCACTAACTCCCGTTCGTTACCTGTTGCAACGGCAAGCTGCCAAAGAACATTTTCAGCTATGAAGATAATCAAGAATGATCTTCGAAATCGGTTGAGTGGCCAATTTATGAATGATTGTTTAGTTCTGTATATTGAAAAGATTTGCTTTACAGTATAAGTGATTAATGTATTTTAGAGACATTTCAGTAGATGAAAAGTCATCGCGATTCGTTGTAAACATGACATTGTGAACTTTATGAATTAATTTTTTTAATTTCTACTTAATTTTTATATTTAATTTAATTATTATTGTATTTTATCGCCGACACACCTCTCCGACAATCCTGGGTCCGCCACTGATAAGAAACAACATTTTTCATGTAAAAATAGGATGCGGGTCATATGGGTGACCCGCAATCCACCCCCCATTCACCCACATAAGTGCGGGTGGGAGATTTACGAATCCGCAATCCACCCACATCAATCACCCACTGCGTGCGGGTCAGGTTATTTGCGGGTGGATCGATATCAATCTGCGGATTAACCACCGACATGCCCACCCCTACTACTTGGTAGTGATGGAAGTACAAAGCTCTTCTCACCTTTGGGCCCGTGGTCTGGATACCTATCTGTTTCGTCGTTATAAGCCCATTCTTTGACCCGGAAACTTCTAAACACAATTTGGGCCTTGAAGTCCGACTCGCTTCTGGCTTCCAATTTTGCAGAAACGACGTACCGTGAGACAGAAATAGCCCGCCACAATATTGTGCTCTTTTTAGAGAATTTTCTTTTTTCATTTTCCCTTCACGGCCTCACTTCTGAATGTCCAGCGACACTTGCAGCAGTCCGGTAGAAGCAGAAAAGGGAAGGGACTAGGGTTTTTACCAGTGTGAAGAAACCAGACAAGGTTACAACGACGATAGCCAGGGGAACCACAGAGAACCGACGGAATGACGACCCGAATCACTCCCGGCGTTGGAGCGAATTTGCTTGGCCAACACTCCGCCGAGAGGAATCAAGACGCCACCGCCTACGTCGGCAATCTCGATCCCCAGGTTCGTCAACTTTCCCCGTCTTCTTCCTTTCTCGTGGTTCCGGAAAATGGACAAATTCCTTTTCTTAGGAACACTTCCTTACTGTCTGCTGAGATTTCGTGCCTTTTTTTTCTTCTTCTGATAGTTGAGTGAGGAATTGCTATGGGAGTTGTTTGTTCAAGCTGGACCCGTAGGTATGTCTTCCTTGGTTCAATCAATTCAATTGTGATTTGTTCGGTGTTTCCTTTTCGAGCTCTGTGGGTTTTGAAGTTGATTCTGAGAATCTCTTTGCTCGCTGCTGGCTCAGTGAATGTCTATGTGCCAAAGGATAGGGTGACTAACTTGCACCAAGGATATGGATTTGTGGAGTTCCGAAGTGAAGAAGATGCTGACTATGTAAGCAGGTCTTCTTCTATTGAATGCCTCGGCATTGTGAGAATGATACCTTGCTAATGATGATTTGTTTTTTACATGGGGTTTCTCCACAATTTTGTAGGCAATTAAGGTATTGAACATGATTAAGCTCTATGGGAAGCCGATACGTGTGAACAAGGTACCCATTTCTGCTTTCATTTTCACTTTGAAGCTCTTCCCTGTTTGTGTGGAATAGTGAACACAATTTGGGATGCTCTTTGTTCGTTGCAGGCGTCACAAGATAAAAAGAGCTTGGATGTTGGGGCAAATCTTTTCATCGGAAACCTTGATCCTGTAGGTTTATTCATTTGATTTCTCAAGGAAGATGTCTCTTGGCTATGCTATTCGTGTACCTTAACTAAAAACCTCTGTGTATAAATGTATTCTTTGCAGGATGTTGATGAAAAACTTTTGCATGATACTTTCAGTGCGTTTGGAGTAATCGTTTCAAATCCCAAGGTCATCCCATCTCATATGATTTTGTTTCTGCCAATTTATTACTATGATATATCGTTGTCAACAAGAGCTTTGTTTTCTTATTTTAACGCAGAGAGTTGACCCTTAAAATCCTAGCAATGATTAGAATTTTCACTTTGCATGTAAGGCTGTCCCCAAGATTTTGTTTTCCTTGTTTTAGCATTGAACTTAGAGAACTGACCCTTAAAATCCGAGCAATGACTAGAATTTTCAATTTCTGGGTGGGGAAAATGTCTTTTGCCTTTGCCTATTGCACTGTGTAGCTCTTTCCTCTGGAGTTAGATTTTGGTTTGTGTATAGATATAAGAAATTGAGGAAAGTTGTTGAAGTTCCTTGACATTATGGCTGGAGTTATGTATCTATTCACATCTTCTGTGCAATCTACGATAAATCTTTGTTATCTTTTCTTAAAGTGTGAACTAAACTAGCAACAGTGCTTAGGAACCCCAAGTAATTGTACCTTATGTTTGTTTACATACTCTTTATTTACTTAGTCCATGGCCATTGACCTTGACTTCGTTTTTGGGTTGCTATCATTCTTTTGCCACTTTTAAATCCTTTTTATAAGTCCCTACCTACAAAATATGCATCTTTGGTTATTTTTACTAACTCCTGGTACTTTCATTTATAGATAATGAGAGATCCAGAAACAGGCAATTCCCGTGGTTTTGGTTTCATTAGTTATGACTCTTTTGAGGCTTCAGATGCTGCCATTGAGGTAATTTCATTCGATAAGAATCATGTTTCAGAATTTGATAATCCAAAATAATTACTATTCAAGACTTTGTCTACGTTGATGATTCAAAGAATGTATTTGTTGGTAATAATACTTCTGACTTGTGGACTTCTAACAGGCAATGACTGGGCAATACCTCTGCAATCGTCAAATAACAGTGTCTTATGCTTATAAGAAAGACACTAAAGGAGAGCGTCATGGGACCGTGGCAGGTGAGGACTATTTTGGTGTTCTTATTCCTTTCTTGAGTTACTTTATCATCTGGTTGTGATGGTTCTTTGTTGCATGAGTATGCTTGGACACTATTTAACATGTTGGGTTCACAATGCAGAGAGAGTGCTGGCTGCCAGCAACCAGAACACTCAAAAAAGTCGGCCCCATACCATGTTTGCCAGTGGACCTCCTACACTACCTGGTGTCGCTCAGGCAAGTGGTGCACCAGTGCCACCACGCCCTTTTGCAAATGGCGTTGTTCCTCCAAGTCCAGTAGTCCCTCAATTGCGTGCACCAAACCCGGCCTTCCCACAAATGCAGATGGGTGGTGGACAACCCCATTGGCAGGGTCAGCCTCCACAACCAAGTCAACCCATGGGGCATATGCATCCACCGCCTCCAGTTCATTTCAGGCCGCCACCTCCAAACATGCCACCACCACCACCTCCCCAGGGAATTCCTGGTGGCTTTGCAAGACCTCCACCTCAGCAAATGGCAATGATGGGAGGTCAACCACCACAACAAATGTGGCGGCAGCCACCTCCTCCCCAGCAGCTGGCTGGTAGGCCCCTCATGCAACAGATGCAACCACCTCCTCCGCCTCCAAATATGATGCCGCCGCCACCTTCAAATTGATTACATCCACAATCACTGCTCTCTTACCCTCTCATGCCATCACCAGGTTTTTAGTCTCTCAGAAGTTTGTCGTATCATCTATTGTTGCTCACGTTAGGAACTGTCGAGGCATTATCTAGGAAGATAGATGATAATGTAAACTATTTTCTATGAACCATTGCTACTGAATCAAGTTGTGGGAAACTGGAAATCTCCTTTCAGGCAGGTTGGGAGGGAGAAATGGGTAAAGTTGGAGTTGGGTTTTAATCATGTGCTACTGTTTTTGTACCCTTTAACTGAAAGTCAGCCTCAGCCCTATAAAGATTGAATCGAGCTATTCTTAACTGACTGCTGAATTGATCATTTTAGTACAAAAAATGGAGCTGTGTCTGCAACTTTTCGTCGAAACCATGGAAGATCTCTCAGCCACTGTTCAAAGCCTTTCTTCATGCTTTTTTGTTTGGTAAACTGATACATGGCTGAGATGGCTGAAATTGCACATTGGTTTTGATGATTGTGTAAACAAAAATTAGTCGAATCCATGTAAGTTTGACAAACCAAACTGATCATTTTTTCACCTTTTCTTTTCAGGAATTCCTACCACTTCCTAATAAATTTACACAAATTTTAATACCATTAAAATTCGCGTTTATAATAAACATTATGATTAGTAGAGTGGACTGATACCCAAGTTCTACTTAACCCACTTATGTGAGAGATAAGAAACCAAATATGAATAACTTCAGTTATCAAACTATATAGTTGAAATGTGAAATTGATACATGAATTGCAGTATTGCACATGGACCCTCATTCTTTCATTCTATTACTTTGTAAATTTTGGGTGTCCGTTTTTTTCAGCTTTATCTTACTACAGTGAAAGATGCTAATTTGAGTCGAACATTTACGATGGTCCATCCCCATTGCTGAACCGACCATAACCTTCACTTCATGGCGAATGATTGAGCTGCTGCTGCTTTTCAGCCTTCTTCGCTGTACAGTGATCTGCGCAAGACTCCAGGCAAAGTTCCACATCCTTGGAGACTAATCAAAGCAACATATATAGCAGAGCAAAGCCAAAGTCAGTTAGATCGAGATCGTATAATTGTATGGGAAAACTAGCTACACGAGTTTGGTGCATATATATATATATGCATACATGGTTCAGCTTTGGTGCTGAGCTCGGTGCAGGCGGGGACAGCACATGTGGCCATGCAGGTGGCCTGGTGATCGTCGGGATCGGGTTCTCCGGCGGGTTGGACGAGGCACTCTTGTATGCACTCGCCGTAGCAGTTTATATCCCCTGCAGTGAGCGCACACTTCACGAAACAGAGTGGGTCGCATGCCTTGTGCCCTCTGTAGTAGTTGCCCTGGTCAGCAGGAGCCAACGACGACGGCTGGCACTGGCCGCTGCCGGCGGCGAGCAACAGCACCAACATCATTGCCAATGCAGCAGATAGCCCTCTGCTCTCCATAATTGGTATTGATCGATAGTTTCCCCAAGCTTGCTCGACTTTCAAATCTTGTTTCCTGTGGAGTACTAAGCTTCAGGTTTAGTTTACTCGATCTTGTGTATGGGGTCACTATATATAGGCAGAGTGGAGACACAGGCAGATTGGTTTGCTGGTGTCGATAGTGTGATTTGTAGAAATCAATAAAAACTGAAACACTGGGTTTCGTGACTGTTTATTCCTCCATCTCTAGAACACGTTGTTTGTATGTGCCCCAAAAGTATGGGGTAGCTCATAGCTGGCTGGCTAGGCAGTTGCTTGTGGGTTCGTCGAGATGATTAGACCGATATCTCTCTCTCTGTCTCTTCATAGGAAGCTGAAGAATAAGAAGGAACTGCATACAGAGATCGAATGAGACAATGGCGAGCCTTTCTTTCGGAGAAATGAACACTTCCTGAACCAGAGCCTGTTTCAGGAAAGTCTACTGTTCTCTGAATCTATATGCCTCTGTTGTGCTCTCTTCCACATATGCAACAAGAACCTTAGTTTAGCACAGAAATAGGTGAAGCAGCTGCCTTGACCTGAAAGTACAAACTAATTTAAACGTTCCATAGAAACTTGGATCCAAGCTGAAAACAAAACTTCATATCAGATGCTCATCAGCCTCAATAGCATCGAAATGAAGTACGCAACCGAACCAAAGTTATGTATGCGTGATGCTCGAAAAAATTTCCTCGGCCCCAGTTTAGCTCTTCGGCAGCCAAGCGCGATACATCATCCTAGAACTAAACTACAAAGCCAAACTCAAGCAATCACGGCTGCAACTTTATGAGATATAGTAAATCGACTGGCAGCAGCATTAAAATCTTACAACCATTTCTTCTTTTATGATTGAGCTGCAGCTTCTTGAGTCTCATCTTCATTTTCTTCCTCTTCATTATCACCATCACCCTCACCACTAACAGATGCAAGGCCAAGATTCTCCTCAACTTTCCTCCAAGCATTCAACACATTAGGTGGGAACTTCTTCTTAACCGTGCGAACCAACCCTTTCGCAGATTTGATCTTCTTCTTCTTCACCAACCCTTCTGCCAAATGCTTCAACGTATTAAAATCCGGGATCTTGTTGTGCCCCACGCTAGTCTTGAACACCCTGTACCCGGCCTCGAACCTCTCGTTCAGACACAAGTAGTATACCAAACTCCTGAAAGTGGTGGCATTCGGCTTGCACCCGAATTCCTCCAACCTCGTATACACATTTTGAGCTTCCTCCAACATACCCTTCTTGCAGTAACAAGTCATCAAGTAATTGTAGCTGATTGTATCGGGTTTCAACCCGGAAGTCCCCATCTCTTCGATCAACTCCTTGACGTTCTCAGGCTCTCTATCATGTGCATTCATGATTCTAACGTTATAAGCAGCAACATCAATTTCACAACCCCTCTTCGCCATTCGATTCCACAGCCTCTCAGCCTCTTCGCTATTCCCTTTCTTGTACAGCCAATCCAGAATGGTGGTGAAAGTGACGGCAGTCACTTCCACTCCTTTCTCCTCCATTTCTCTCAGTATCTCCAAACCCTTCTCTGGCTTCCCGGACTCGCAGTAAGACTTGACCAAGATACCGTACGAGATCTTATCAGGCTTGACGCCGTATTTGAACGGGATGTCGGCGAACAAGATCGGGACCTGATCGAAACGTTTCGACTGGTTGCAAGCAGACAGCAAGGCGTTGAAAGAGATGGAGGATCGACGAGTACCCAATTGGTCCATTTGAGTGTAGGTCGAGAGAGCGTTGTCGAACATTCCGGCGAGGCCGTAGGATCGGATCAGAGTGGCGAGGAAAGGCTCCTGCTTGATCTTAGGGTCGGACTTGTGGGCCTCGATGAGGGACTCGATGTCGGAGAAGCGGCGGGCCTTGGCTAGGCGCCGGACGGTGAGGTCCTGGGCGTAGCGGGAGGAGATAGGGGAGGAATAGCGGTCGGAGACGGAAGAGTAGATTTTCAGGGCCTTGTCGGGATCGTGTTCGGATCGGAGCTTGGATTTCGCCTTCGAGATGGAGATTGAGGAAGAAGCAGCAGCAGCTGTTGTGGCGGCTTCTGCAGCAGCGGCGGCGCTGGAGAGGTGGCGGAGGTGGCGGAGGTGGCGGGAAGAGGCGGCCATGGTTTCTTCGACACTTCTGGTTTCTGTGGTTGGAACTTGGAAGGCGTCGGTGGAAGTGTCTTCTAACTTCTAACTTGGGCAAGGCAACTGGGTTTTTGCTAGGGTTTTAGATTGAGTTTCACTCTTCGGGCCCCCAGCCCCCCACTCGTCCCATTTCTCATATGGGTTAATTGCATAGGTCACTAAGATTACAAAAAACCAATGTTGTCAGAATCGAACCGGAGCATGACCCGTTAATGCGAACGGCTCGCACTTTAGTGGTCCAATTGGCATTAGACCGTTTAAAAACCGTTAAAGAACCGGTACCTAATAAACGTTATCAGTATAAATAGTGGACATTTCTTAATCAGAGCTCATCTCTTTCCTTCGAAATTGTGAAATGGAAATAAGGATTCAGTTTAAGAGGACGACGTTTTTGGTTTATTTCAATTTTCAATTTTCAGCAATTTTTTTTAATTAAATTTAGTGGCTGAGTGGCAAAAACCGGACGAGCGGCTCAATCGGCTCGAACGGTTAACCGCCTCGGCCGCTCTTCAACCGCTACATAAAACCGGAGCGGCTTTTAGATTGATCCGAGCCGGTTTTGTGACCGGGTGACGGTTTTACCGGTCGAGCCGAGCGGCTCGGCTCGGCTTTAATAACACTGCAAAAAACGTTCACGTTTGGTCACTCGAAATATTTAAATCCATTAGTGGTACTTCAGTTTACTAAAACCGTTCATGTTTGGTCACTCTCCGTCCAGCTCCGTTAACTTTGACTGATGTGGCAGTCAACTCTCAAAGTTGACCGTTAACTTAGTGACGTGGCAAATAAAAAATTATTAAAAATAAAAAAAAATAAACTTTTATATTTTCACCTTATTATTACATTCATTAAAAAATAAAAAAACTATTTTCTTTTCTACAAACTCTCATACCCTACCCGACCTAACCTCACCACCATCAGAGCTTTCACTGGCCACTGCCTCCGGCGGCCGTTGAGAAACCAAAACCCTAGCGGCGGTAACAATTTCTCTCCCTCCGGCAGCCTCGACCGTTATTTTCCAAAATGGAGAACGGGGAAAAAAGAAAGCCACAACCACGGTGAAAGACAATTGATGCTGGACACAGCGTGAAGACAAAATTTTCTTTACCAACAAAAGCTGGAAAACTTCGCCAGAGATTCCTTCTTTCCACTGTTCTTACTCACCACCAGTTCCCAGCTTTGGTGCTGATATTTTCTATAAATCCCCCAGAGATTTGGATCTATTCTGTTCAATATTTTCAAACAATTTTAGCAAAGGAAATGAAGCTTCAACTGCAATTATGAATGTAGGGGGAGGTACTCTATCCATAAATATGAAACCTTGATTGTGTTCTTCAGGCTTGACCATTTCATTATTTCACCACCTGGGTTTGGAGAATGAAGTATCCATTCCCCTTTTCTACTGATACAGCAAAACGGCTAGCTCTGGCAAAGCAGAGGGAAAACAGGGGAGGATGCGAACATAACTATTTCTTCCCCTTTCATTTTCAGCTCTGATCCTATTTTTCTCCCCAATATCACACTTTGAGATTGGGTCGTTGGGCTCCATTTCCAGGGAGAGGTATCGCGACGTCGTTCTGGGAGTCTTGGAGATTGGGTCAGATGTGTCGGAGCTGCTCCTCTGCTTCGGGGCTCCAGCCGGACGTCGCCAATTGGGAATCGGTGGAGAAGAGGAACGACTCACCGCCTGGACTCAAGGTGAAGGAAAGTCCAAAACTGCCGAGGCTGTGGCTATGGATGCTGTCCAGTGGGTCGAAGGGCGTTGCGCTGAAGAACTGATGATCCTGGGAATTATTAGCCCAATCGACGGCGGCGGAGGATGGGTTGTTTTGAATTCGATGATGATGGTCGGAATTGGGGAACATGATGGATTCATCAGAAGGAATCTGGGAGGCGTAAGTATCTAGGTAAGTGGAGAATCCGAGGTCGTGCGGATCCATGATCATGGATTTGATGAATGGGTAATTCGAGATTCGATCAGAGGAAGAAAGAAATTGGGTTTAGAGAAGATTCCCCTTTGTTCTTAATTTTCATAGTTTTTATTTTTAGTTATTTAATAGTTAATAATGAGGTGGAAAATTTAAAAAATTTATTTTATTTTATTATTTTTGATTGCCAGGTCACACATTTAACGGTCAACTTTTTAGAGTTGACCGCCACGTCAGCAAAAGTTAACGGAGTTGGACGGAGAGTGACCAAACTTGAAGTGTTTTACGCATTTTAGTGACCATGAATGGATTTAAATATTTTGAGTGACCAAACTTGAATGTTTTTTGTAATCTCAATGACCAACCATGCAATTAACCCTTTCTCATATATTCATCAGAAAATGGGATTCATACAGAATTTACCTTTTACTACACAAATTTTCTCAATAGCATCATTTCACTAAGAGAGAGGGAGAGAGATAAATAGATTTAGGAAAATTTTAATTTTGATATAGTTTAATTAATCAAGTCTCAAGTGTAGAATATATAACCCGATGGATTCTCTTTAATTATCTCTATTTTATGTCTACTACAAAAATGCAAAATACTCTAAAAAATCAGCATAAAAATATCAAATAATTCACAAATAACAAATATACCAAACCTCATAAATAATTGTTCAAAATACCAAAACAGATAGAATAATACTAGACCCGGTTTCTATCATACCACCCCTCCTCGACAACAACCTTTCCCGCAAGGTTGAACCCGGTGCAGCTTAATTCACTTTTCCTTCCTCGATCGCCAGCTCGTCGACCTCATCCTTTCATATTCCCACTGGCAGCATCAAGTAGGCATTGGCACATTGGTACCCCCCACCGTGTACCTCTCGTTGCAATTAAAGCAACAACCATCCATGCGCTTCCCCTCCATCTCTGACGAAGTCCCTTGATGGCAAGCGGGGGTCACGGCTCTTGTGTTATTGTCGTTGCAGACTTGCAGTTACTGTTCCTCCCCATGTACATGCTCCTCCACTTGTCCCACTGATCACCTTTTGAAAGTGACATACATTGCTCTGCTAGCTGGCAATCTCATCATCCTTTCTACCGGCAAGTCTAAAGGTAACTAGCAAAGAGTCAGGTTCAAACACTTTCACAACCGCATCTAATTTGGGCCTTAGACTTGCCATGCACAAGTCCACCAAAGTTTTCTCTTTCATGCCCTTACATATGTTCCCAACTTCAAAACTCGGCCCAGTGCTCATCCATTGTCCCAGTCTGCCTCAGTTTAGCCAGTGGCTTTTGAACCCACCCTTCTAGTCTCTCAAACTAGAACCTAAGTTCCTCTTGAAACCTGGGTCATGTGATCAACATCTTGGCATGTGCATAGGACCTCTACATCCATTTCCACCACTGGAGGCATCTCCCACTAAGTATAAAAATGACATGTGTGCCTTCCTCTCCTCTTGTGTGAGATGGTTCTTAACCACCGGTCAGTTATATACAACCTCAGCCCAACATTCTCTTGACCATTCAACTTTGGGAACTCAATGGTCGGAAGGTTATCCCTAAAAACTTAATCATCATCTCCATTAAATGTGGGGTTATAAACACCATACATGCCAATGTCTCCCCCGCCTTGGTGACCATAGTAGTTCCCTTGCTCCCTATTTAGCCTGGACAGATCGGGAAACTCCAAAGCGTCTTCTTCCCATGGATACCCAAAGTGGCATCCTGCTCCTGTCTTCGAGCCCTGTCTTATCTCCTAGTTCCTTTTCAAGCGGTAGTTTTTTCCCTTAGGAGTCACCATGGGTGGATAGATCGACTTTGTCCCTTCAAAATAGCCCTTCCATTCTTCCTGTTTGCCGCTGCTGTTTGGATGGGTACGAATCAGTTTGGTGCAAATCTAATATGTCCAGTACTTATTTGAATGGGTCTGGTTTGACCCTACCAATGTAGTCAAAAGCGTGATTCTATGTAGAAGCGTTTTGGTAACATAAAATAGTTAGCTTTTCAGCTTTATAGCTCGATCTTGACTACATTAGTAAGGAAAAAAGCGTGATTCTGCGTAGAAGCGTTTTGGTGACCTAGAAGCATAAAAGTGTAAGCTTTCAAGTTTTAAAGTGTGAGTTTGGTGACCTAAAAGCATAAAAGCGTAAGTTTTCATGTTTTAAGGCGTGATTCTACCATCGTTCGCACAGGCATCTCGAGTGTGCATACTGTCCAAGTGGTTGGTTGTATTTGTCGGGGGTCGACTCTCTGCCCCACCAGCTAGCTCATCATCCCTAACATAGCCTGTTGAAACTCTCTTTGTTGCTCTTTTGGGCAGTTTCACGGAGGGCGACCACCACCACCTCCTGTTGGAAATGTATATGAATAACTTTGAAAGCTATAGAGTCTCAAGTGGAAAAACCACCACATTGGTAGTTTTACTTGGTGAGATGAGTATAAAGATAGGAGCCTCTCTCCTAAGGGCATGCCCCTTGGGGTGACCCACTTTTGTGGGAGAGGGAGGACCTAACGGACCACCACACACACACGCGCGCGCGCGTTGTTTGTCCGTCCGACCGGTCGGTCGGTTGGTTGGTTGGTTCACTTGAGACTACAATATATTTTTGGAGAAATTCCGAACGAAATTAATTATCTAATAATTAATTATTAATCGGTTATTCTGAGGAATATTCTAAGGATAATCGACTAAAAAGGAATATTCGAAGGATAATCCCTCCGGGTTTATCTTAACCGACGGTTTTAATTAAGGAAGTAATTATCTTCCTTAATTAATCCGACTTATTCCCCAAGCAAGAGGGTATATTCCTAGGGGTTCGGCTCCTATAAATAGCCGCCTCCCCAGCCCCTCTAATCACATCAAAACGAGCATAAACACAATAGAAAGAGTGTTCAGAGAGCTCCGGTTTTCGCACAAAACCGCGAGTATTGAGAGGAGCTGTTTTATCCTGGAGACGACCGGTTGATAGTCTGCCGTGCGCATCGAAGGCAGTGCCGCGAACGTCTTAAAGAGAGCGACCTAATCCGCGACTCAGCTCCAGATTCGATAACCTCGTTCTTCTTGTTGTTCCGTTACTAACACCTCCTGCAATCCTCCTCCATCTAACTTGACATGGAGATCCACGATGGAAACCAGAACCTCCTTCCCGCTGTCGATGCATGTGATATACTCGATAATTTTTCTGCTACAGATCTCTCTAGAGACGTCACTATCTTCTAAAAAATCCACATAAAATGCCAAAGAAACCCAGAACCAACGGAAACCCTAAACTCATAAATAATTTTTCAAAATCCCAAAACAAATAGTACCCGATAATACTCTATTCCTATTATAACATCCTATATGCTAGCACCATGCTAAAAATAATTAATAAGAGTATTGTAATAACTACTGTATATAGTATGTTCTTCCTCCACATTGTCCTCCTCCCGTTGCTCTCTGCCCCCTGCCTCCACACTAGTGATGGCAATGGGGCGGGACGGGTACCTCAATTCCCATGTCCCGTCCCACGCTACTACGGGTCGGGGGCGGGTAAAACCCGCGTGGGGACGGGGCGGGGCGGGTCGACCCACTCTTACATGTTGTTCAAAAAAAAAAAAATACAAGTAAATTTTACTTTTTACAATAAAACGTAGGAAAAATACTTTAAGAAGGAAAAATATTGATATATAATGGATAATTGAGCCTAACAAGTTGAAAGATCGACTCTAACTAGTTGAAGAAAAGTCAAAATAGGAGAAATATGTATAGATATTGTAAGAAATTGAGATAAAATGAGTCTAGAACGGGGCGGGGCAAGACGGGTCGGAAGTTGATACCTATGCCCCACCCCACGCTACTGCGGGTCGGGTAATACCAGCCCCATCGCGGGTCAGGTCGGGTAATACCCGTGGGGCGGGTTGATATTGCCATCACTACTCCACACACAATCCACCCTACTTTTTTCCTTGTGTGTAAAAAATATCAGAGGGTTACTTGTAAAAAATTTATATTATCATTATAAAAAAAATATTACCTTTTCATCCTTTATGATGTTTCTGGTTCGCTTTGTAAGGTTTCTGGTGTGGTTTCTCGTCATTTTGTATGCTTTACGAGAGTGTGGTTGCACATATTTGTGGTTTGCTTCCATGGAACTTGTTGTAAGCTCTATGAGTTTTTTTGGTCTGCTTCAAGGAATTTGTGGACATGTTTTTTTGGTCCTATAAATAGCCGCCTCCCCAGCCCCTCTAATCACATCAAAACGAGCATAAACACAATAGAAAGAGTGTTCAGAGAGCTCCGGTTTTCGCACAAAACCGCGAGTATTGAGAGGAGCTGTTTTATCCTGGAGACGACCGGTTGATAGTCTGTCGTGCGCATCGAAGGCAGTGCCGCGAACGTCTTAAAGAGAGCGACCTAGTCCGCAACTCAGCTCCAGATTCGGTAACCTCGTTCTTCTTATTATTCCGTTCCTAACAATTTTAAGACGTTCGGCTGCTGCTATATCGACTGAACAGAACAATATGGCCGGATCTGGTGCTCTCGATATCAATCGACCGTTTCGCTTCGTTGGGGTCAACTTCCGTCGCTGGAGACAAAAGATGGAGTTCTACCTGACAACCAAAAAGTTGGCACACTGCCTCACCAGCATGCCCGTCGAGCTGCCGGAAGAAGCGACCGATGAGGAGAGGGCTGCTTCTGACAGAGAAAGGGAGCATGACTTCCTGTGCAAGAACTACATCCTCAACGGCCTGGCAGGCGATCTCTACGACTACTATGCGGACAGTAAGAACACCGCGATGATGATCTGGGATGCACTCCAAAAGAAGTACGACACGGAGGAGGCTGGAGCTAAGAAGTATGCTGTCAGCCGCTACCTGCGCTACCAGATGGTGGATGACAAGTCCGTCGAAGTTCAGTCCCACGAACTTTAGAAAATAGCTCATGAGATCGTCTCTGAAGGTATGCCTCTGGACGATCAATTTCAAGTTGCTTGCATTATTGATAAGCTGCCCCCTTCGTGGAAAGATTTTAAGAATATGCTTAGGCATAAAACCAAAGAATTTTCACTGAAAAGCTTGATTACTCACCTAAGGATTGAGGAAGAGTCCCGCAAGCAGGATATGAAAGAAGAGGTGATGG